TTTTTGACACGGCACTTGCTCTGTCGCCAGGCTAAGCTGTGATCTTGGCTCACTGCAACCTCCACCTCCTGGGTTCAAGCAGTTCTGCCTCAGCCTCCTGAGTAACTGGGACTACAGGCGCCTGCCACCACACCCAGGTAATTTTTGTATTTTTAGTACAGACAGGGTTTCACCATGTTGGCCAGGATAGTCTTGATCTTCGACCTTGTGATCTGCCCGCCTTGGCCTCCCAAAGTGCTGTAATTACAGGCGTGAGCCACTGCGCCCAGACTAAGTTTTATATTTTTAGTTGAGACCGGTTTTCACTGTATTGGCCAGTATGGTCTCCATCTCCTGACCTTATGTTTCACTCACCTCAGCCTCCCAAAGTGCTGGGATTACAGATGTGAGCCCCTGCGCCCAGCCAATTTTTTGCATTTTTTTCTGAAGACAAAGTTTTGCCGTGTTGCTGAGGTTGGTCTCAAACTCCTGGCTTCAAGTGATCCTCACTCATCACCCTCCCAAACTGCTGGAACCACAGGTGTGGGCAACCATGCCTGGCCAAGCAGGTCATTTTTATCATTTGATTCTACAGCTGCTACTCATGGTCACACTGTGAGAAGGTGCTGTATAAAGGCCTTATTTGGGCCAGGCATGGTGGCACACGCACGTAATCCCAGCATTCTGGGAGGCCGAGACAGGTGGATTACTTGAAGTCAGGAGTTTGAAACCGCCCTGGGCAACGTTGGTAAAACCCCATCTCCACCAAAAAAATACAAAAATTAGCCCGGCATGGTAGCATGTGCCTGTAGTCCTAGCTACTTGGGAGGCTGAGGAAGGAGAATCACTTGAACCTGGGAGGCAGAGGTTGCAGTGAGCCCAGATTGCATCACTGCCCAGCAGCCTGGGCAACAAAGCGAGACTCCATCTCAAAAAAAAAAAAAATTAAATTAAATTAAACACCTTATTTGGGAAGTTGAGCATCAATCATGGCCCTGCTTCCGCCAGAAGATTTTCTGTTTTTTTAATCTGTAGAACCTCTGAGAAACTGGCATTAACTTCTAGCCAGACTGTGTTTCCGAAACCAGCCACCCTACCATCCCACCATGGGATAGCACAGATCTGACCTCTGACAGTGTCATTTATTTTCTTGCCTAAAAAAACATCAGGGCCAGGTGCAGTGGCACACACTTGTAATCCCAGCACTTTGGGAGCCTGAGACCAGTGGGATCGATTGAGCTTAGGAGGTTGAGGCTGTAGTGAGCTACAGCACTCCAGCTTGGGTGAAGAAGTGAGAACTCATTGCAGAAAAAGAAAGTCAGGGCAGCTTTCAGATTTAGGAATTCTGAAAGATGTGTGACTACCATCTCCCCAGGCCCTAAGCCATATGAATTTGATGGGTTTGTAGCAGACACGAGACAGGAAATTAAGCAGCTTTTCCATGGTGTGCACGTAACTGTCGACCTTTACACGTGGATTTTTAGGCCAGATGCAGTGGTTCAGACTTATAATCCCAGCACTTTGGGAGGCCAGGGCGGGGGGATTGCTTGAGGCCAGGAGTTCACAAGACCAAATTGGGCAACATGGCGAAACCCCATCTCTACTAAAAATACAAAAATTGGCCAGGCATGGTGGTGGGCGCCTGTAGTTCCAGCTACTTGGGAGGCTGAGGCGCAATAATGACTTAAACCCAGGAAGCCAAGGTTGGAGTGAGCTGAGATTGCACCACTGCACTCTAGCCTGGGCAACACGGTGAGACTCTTAAAAAGGATTACACATTTTTCTAAAAAAAGTTTGTTTTTTTTCTTTCTATAAGACAGGGTTTTGCTCTGCCGTCCAGGCTGGAGTGCAGTGGTGCGGCCATAGGTCACTGCAGCCTCACCTTCCTGGGCTCAAACCATCCTCCTGTCTCAGCCTCCTAACTAGCTGGGACTCCAGGTACATGCCACCACCGCTGGATAATTTTTTTTAATTTTTTATATAAACAGTCTTGTGTGTTGTCCAGGCTAGTCTCAAACTCTTGGCTTTGAGTTTGAGAATACACCTCTGAGACTATAGTCTGCTTCTCACTGAGATTTCTAGAGGTATGTTTGAGTTTTCAGAGTAATTTTCCAGGCAACCCTCTTGCCTTGGCCTCCCAAGTGCTTACAAGCTTAAGCCATCATGCCTTGCCTTTTTTTTTTTTTTTTTTTTTTTTGGAGTCAGGGTCTTGCTCTATTGCCCAGGCTGCTGGAGTGCAGTGGCATGATCTCGGCTCACTGCAGCCTCCGCCTTCCGGGCTCAAGCGATCCTCCTACCTCAGCCTCCCAAGTAGCTGGGACTGCATGTATAGGCCACCACACCTAGCTAATTTTTTTTTTTGCATTTTTTTGTAGAGGCAGGATCTGGCTATGTTGCCCAGGCTATAAAAACAATCAAAATCAATTTAATAGGTAAGAGATGGGTCTTTCTAGAGGTTCTGAAACTGGGCGTTTGTGTGACCTTGGAATCTGAGAGCCAGGTAGCCAGTGTCCTCTTCTTCATTTCACAGGAGAGAAAATTGAGACCCTGTGAGACCCTGCTCCTGACTCTTGATGTTCACCCCTAGACCTCTGTGGGCCCCGGTGCTAGCCAGTTTCTCACAGCTGTCATGTCAGCTTAATTTGGTTTGCTCTGTCTGAAGGTTGGGGAAGCGCCTGCAATTTGGGAAGCCGCCATCACACATATCTTCGCCGCCGCTGCCGTCAGCCCAGGGGGTAGTCAAGATGTTGCTTTAGGAAAACCACGGAAGCTGAAGCTCTTGGTGTCGGTGCGGGAGTCGTTACTGTTTGTCGTCTTTTTACACTAGGTTTTTGTTTTGTTGTAAGTTAGAGAAATAAGAACCAGCACTCACCATAGTTGACTTTGCAGCCCAAGCCAATGACAGGCCGTCACCTGTGATCTGGGGTTTGCCCCTGGGAAACGTCTACTCATCCCTGCCTGCCACTGTGTGCACTGCAAAGAGGGATAAACGGGGCTTTCTGGGAAAAGCCCTAAGGTGTCGGTGATGAGGCTACCCTGTTTTTGTTTGTTTTTGTGTTTTGAAATAGAGTCTCGCTCTCTTGCCCCAGCTGGAGTGCAGTGGCGTGATCTCAGTTCACTGCAGCCTCCACTTCCCAGGTTCAAGTGATTCTCCTATCTCAGCCTCCCATGTAGCTGGACTACAGGAGTGTGCCACCACACCCGGCAATTTTTATGTTTTTAGTGAGGAACTGTTTCACCGTGTTGGCCAGGCTGGTCTTGATCTAGTCTCAAGTGAACCTCATGCCTTGGCTTCCCAGAGTGCTGGGATTACAGGTGTGAGCCACCAGGCCTGCCCTCTGATTTGTCTTGACAGGTGTCTTTAATGTCCTGAATCTCCTTAAATGTGGGATGGAGTCCCTCTCAGAGGCTCTTCCCCCTGCCCCCAACCAGCTGGAATTGTCTTCCAGAAAGAAATCTCCCAATGCTTTGTGGCGTACTGAAATCATGTCTGGGAACAGAGAACAGAACTGTCATATGCCTTTTTAAAAACTGGAATAGGCGGGGCATCCTGACTCACGCTTATAATCCTCGCAGTTTGGGAGGCCAAGGCGGGTGGATCACCTGAGGTCAGGAGTTCAAGACCAGCCTGGCCAACATGGTGAAACCCCATCTCTACTAAAAATAGAAAAAATTAGCCGGGTGTGGTGGTGCACACCTGTAATCCCAGCTACTCACGAGGCTGAGGCAGGAGAATTGCTTGTACCTAGAAGGCGGAGGTTGCGATGAGCTGAGATTGCACCACTGCACTCCAGCCTGGGTGAGAGAGCGAGTATCAAAACACACACACTCTCACACACGCACATGCGCACACACACATGCACGCACACTACATCTGAGACTGTAGCCTGCTTCTCATGGAGTTTTCTAGAGGTATGTTTTTGGAGTAATTTATCAGGCCAACCAGGGTCAGTGGAGAATCTGTCCTCTTTTGGCAAACTGCAGTCATTCATTTTCCTGAGTCCCCTGGCGGGGTGGGGGGAATTCTGCCTCAGGACCCTGAGGGGTCTTTGGGGTAGGGTGGCCTTGTTAATGCAGCCACTAAGAATAGGACTTCATTCAAAGCCATAATGAAGTAACCAGAGTGATCTTCAAGTAAGATTACACCATGAGATCATTGTTGGAGGAGGCCTCCTTGTCAAAGACATGAACACAGGATTTCCAACGTGCCACAGCGTGTCTGCTCACCACTGCTTGTTAGGAACTGCTGTCTCACTCTGTGGGTCACAAGTTAAAAGAACACAGTTTCTGTGTGCCTGCAGCTTCATGGCCTTCATTTTGTTACTAAGTTATTTTCTGGAAGAACAGCAAAAATATCTTCAGGTTGAAAATGGAACTTTGCAAGTGCTACTGAAATTCCGCAGAAAATGAAGCTGCAGTGGCGAGTTTCTTACCCTAGAAACATCTTAACCTGTATCCGAAAAGATGTCCTTTTATTTTTTTTAAAAGATCAATAAAATCAAGAGAAGTGAATGTTGAACTGGTTTGGGCTAGTGGTCACATAGAGGGTTTGTATGTTTGTACTTCCATGTTTTCTCACAGGATGGTGAAAAACTTTTTTTTAACGGAGTTATGAAATAAGAAAAAAATCTTTTCCAAAAATTTCTATTCAACTCAGCTTTTTAGAAATATATCTGGGGCCAGGCGCGGTGGCTCATGCCTGTAATCCCAACACTTTGGGAGGCCGAGGCGGGTGGATCACGAGGTCAAGAGATCGAGACCATGCTGGTCAACATGGTGAAACCCCGTCTCTACTAAAAATACAAAAAATCAGCTGGGCATGGTGGCGCATGCCTGTAATCCCAGCTACTCAGGAGGCTGAGGCAGGAGAATTGCCTGAACCCAGGAGGCGGAGGTTGCGGTGAGCCGAGATCGCGCCATTGCACTCCAGCCTGGGCAACAAGAGCGAAACTCCGTCTCAAAAAAAAAAAAAAAAAAAGCCTGAACCCAGGAGGCGGAGGTTGCGGTGAGCCGAGATCGCGCCATTGCACTCCAGCCTGGGCAACAAGAGCGAAACTCCGTCTCAAAAAAAAAAAAAAAAAATATATATATATATATATATGATATACATATATATATATGATATACATATATATATATGATATACATATATATTGATATATATAGATATATATATATTGATATATATAGATATGATATATATATATTGATATATATATAGAGATATGATATATATATATATATATGTGATATGTTTGTGCATCAATCAAGTCATATTAGCATCTGGTCATAGGGTGGAGTCCTTTGTTCCCATATTTCCTGTCTCCCAAATCTGTTTGATCCCACGGACTTGGTGATACATGGCATCGTTTGTGTTGAACAGAGCCTTTGCAAGGCACGTCTGTCTAAAACACAGAAGCTGAAAGAAGGATGGGGCCTACAGCCTATCGTCTCCCCATCTCCACCCCTGCCCCCTATGCCCTGCCCCACCACCAAGACAGACTCTTGCTGTGTCTCCCAGCCTGGAGTGCAATGGCATGATCTTGGCTCACTGCAACCTTTGTCTCCCAGGTTGAAGCAATTCTTCTGTCTCAGCCTCCCAAGTAGCTGGGATTACAGGCACGTGCCACCATGCCTGGCTAATTATTTTTTGTATTTTAGTAGAAACAGCATTTACCATGTTGGCCAGGCTGGTCTCGAACTCCTCACCTCATGGTCCATCTTCCTTGGCCTCTGAAAGTGCTAGGATTACAGGCATGACCCATAGTGCCCAGCCTACAGCCTGTTTTTATGGGCCTTACTCTAAGAATGATTTATTATGTTATGTTTTTAAGAGTTGTTTTAAACATGATGAATATTCGACCATATGTAGCCTATAAAAGCTAAAATACTATCTGGCTGGGTTTTTGTTGTGAAAGAGGGTCTTATTCTATTACCTAGGCTACATAGCTCACTGCAGCCTCGAACTCTTGGGCTCACACGATCCTCCTGCCTCAGCCTTCCAAGTAGTTGGGAGTACAGGTGTGCACTGTCCTGCCTGGCTGACTTACGACTTTTTTTTTTTTTGGTAGAGGGGGGGTCTCTATTGGCCAGGCTGGGTCTCCAACTCCTGGCCTCAAGCGATCTTCCCATCTCAGCCTCCCAAAGTGCAGGGATTACTGGTGTGAGCCACTGTACCCGGCCACTGTCTGACTCTTTAGAGAAGGTGTTTGCTGACTCATTGGGCAAGACCTTGTGTTTTAGCTTAAAAAAATCAAGGAAATCTTGTATTTTTCTTGTGATTCTGGTTTTGATGAGTAAGGATGCTCTTAGTCATGTTGAAGGGCAGGGGGCAGTGGCCCGTAGACCTCACATTACCTTACTCCCCACCCCTCAGCAGCCCAATAACCCTCTTAGTCTCAATTTGCATCTCTGCCTTGCCTTTTGCTGGCTGTGGGATCTTAGGCAATTGATATCACCTCCCTAGGCCTCAGTTTCCCATTGAAATAACCCTGACTTCAGAGAATCTGGGATGATGAAGCAAAACCCAGATGTCTCCAACTTCTTTTGCTCCCTAGAAAACAGCTCAACAGAAAAGCCAGTGACATGCTAGTGATTTATAACCGTTTATTAGTGAAGGTGTTTGTAAGTACAGTCAGGGTGTATAGTAAACCGTGCAGCATTCCTGCTCTCCGCTGTGGGAGCAGCGTCTCCTTTTCAATTCATGTGACTACAGAAGGCACTTGGTCTTGGTGAACTGTGCGTGTCTGAGGTGTGGAAACCAGGATGGGGAAAAGAATTCTCAAACAAGGGCCTGACATGAAAAGTTGGAAAGGTTCACAGGTTAGGGAATGAATGGGGAGGGGGGCGGCACCCATTTTGGTGACTTTTTCCCCGTTTCATGTAAACAAAATTGCCAGTGACTGGTTACCATGGATATGTTTTTCTGAAAACTCAATGTCTGCATAATCCACTGATGGAGCTGGAGGGTGTGTCTGTGTTTCCTGCTGGGTTTTTCTCATCTCGTACATCCAATTTGTACCTTGAATACAGGGTAGTGGGGGCGGCGGCAGTGGTGGTGGTGGTGGAGACAGGGTCTCACTCTGTTGCCCAGGCTGGAGGGCAGTGATGCAATTATAGTTCACTGCAGCCTCGAACTCCCGGGCTCCAGTGATCCTCCTGACTTGGCCTCCTTAGTAGCTGGGACCACAGGTGTGTCACACAATGCCCAGCTTATTTTTAAACTTTTGTGGAGACAAGGTTTCACTATGTTGCTCAGGCTGGAGGGTGGTGGTTTTTATAATCCTTGTGTGAGGAGTGTCTGTGATGTTTGGAATTTGAGGATGGATTTAGACAATGCTAAATACAGTCAGCTGGGTTTTGTTTTGTTTTGGGTGTTTGGTTGTTTTTCTTGCCGTGGTGCAAAACTCTAGAAAGTTGCTTATTCACTGGCCTTGGTTCCATTGAAGTCTGCATCTCGAGTGTCCATTTCCTCCTCAGAACCATCTGCGTTTTCAATGACTCGACGTCCTCCAGACCTTCTAGAAGGAACGAAAGAGGTCTCGTTTCCTCGCCTGTGGGTTGTAAGAAAACACATTTGTTTAGCAAAGAAATCTTCACGATTGGGATAAATTTTTTATGAATTTTTTTTTCTTTTTTTTTTTTTTTTGAAACTGAGTCTCGCTCTGTTGCCCAGGCTGGAGTGCGGTGGCGTGATCCCAGCTCCTGCAACCTCTGCCTCCTGGGTTCAAGTGATTCTTCTGCCTCAGCTTCTTGAGTAGCTGGGACTATAGGTATGCGCCACCACACCCAGATGATTTTTTGTATTTGTAGTAGAGATGGGGTTTCACCATGTTGGCCAGGTTGGTCTTGATCTCCTGACCTTGTGATCTGCCGGTCTCAGCCTCCCAAAGTGCTGAGATTACAGGCATGAGCCACTGCGCCTGGCAGGTCTTGCTATTATTGCCCAGGCTGGTTGTGAACACCTGAACTTAACACAGTGCTCCTACCTTGGCCTCCCAAAGTGCTGGCATTACAGGTGCCGGCCACCACACCTGGCTTCCAAGGTAGATTTTATTTATTTTTTTTTAAGACAAGAGTCT